AACTTGTTGTCAACCCTTTGTTTTATTGACTACCCTATTTAACTTGTTGTCAACCCTATGTTTTATTGACTACCCTATTTAACTTGTTGTCAACCCTATGTTTTATTGACTACCCTATTTAACTTGTTGTCAACCCTTTGTTTTATTGACTACCCTATTTAACTTGTTGTCAACCCTTTGTTTTATTGACTACCCTATTTAACTTGTTGTCAACCCTATGTTTTATTGACTACCCTATTTAACTTGTTGTCAACCCTATGTTTTATTGACTACCCTATTTAACTTGTTGTCAACCCTTTGTTTTATTGACTACCCTATTCAATCTGTTGTCCACCCTTTGTTTTAGAGACTTAGCCTTAGGAAAGATTTGGTTGAAAATTTCACGTCAAATTAAATTTATTTGCAAACTTCTGTTATAAACATCAAATGGGTTAATTAGGGTTTACTTTCTTGGTGTAAATTTGTTACCATGTGCATGCGTAGATGCCCTACTATAGAAACGAAACTGCGTTGCTATGTAGCAATAGCCAAAAATATGGTGTTTTTGGACAGTTTACATGCAGAAATGAAAGCCTCTGCATGTGACAAATGAACACTGGTATAACAATGTTAAAGCTTGTCAAATATATATTTGTTTGTTGCTTGCGGAGGCTTTCAAAAATTGAAGAGTGTTTAGTTAATTTCTTCAAAATAGCCAATTTTCAACCAAATAGTGCACAACAGATCAAAATGTGTGTTAATGTCTCCCTTTGAAATGCCATATCTCCTAAACCAGCTATCAAATGAATTTGAAATTTCCCATTTACGTACTTCATTTATTTCAGATTACGAATATAACAACCAATTATAAATCCCTGATGAGGCCGGAAATGACCCTTAAAGGCCCTAGTCCTTTTGCATTTGTTTGACCTTTAACCTAGAGGACAAGGTCAAAGCCTTCGGTGGATAATGTAGGTATACTTCACATGAAGACAATACATTACACTTTTAAATAAAGCAACAAGATAACAAGAGCAAGGATGAAGATTTCCTAAATATAGTAACAGTGACCTTAATACTCCAGGTATTGGCTTATTTATGTTTTTTAATGGGTAGGGGATTAAATGCAGAGTTCTTTATTACTCAACATAAGAATTTCTTATCCATGTAACATCATAAGTCAAAAGATATTACAGGCTTATATATATTCATTGACATCATTGTTTTAAACAATCTTCTAACTTCATTAAGAAGTACCAAGTGTATACTGTAATATTAAACAAAGTCACAAGATACATATCATCATAATTTATTTTATTTTATTCCTCTTGCTAGCTCATTCAATGAGCTCATTAATTTTGTCTCAAACAAAATAAACAGCACATTGCGAAATGTACTGAATTTAAAAGGGGAGATAATTTCTCCATCTGACTATTGAGAACCTGTTCTATTGACATTTCAGTATATCATCAAAAAACACAGTACAGAAGTCAATTGCAACAAGCTCGGGATGAGTTGTTTTTTTTAAGTTATGAAATGTCTACCGGTTTTGTCCTGAAGAAGCCCACTGTTCGGGCGAAACTGGTAGACGTTTCATAACTAATGAAAACAAGAGTACTGCAGGGCGGTACAATATATGCCCGTCGAATGCCATATAGTGTTATGTACTTTCTTACATTGAAATAAGATCTGCATCATTCAAAGAGTGGTTAGCTGACATACTATAAAAATTGAAGAGAAAATCTCTGGATTAAAAATTCAAATACTGAAATGAACAAAAGGCAATAGCTTTTGCAAAAATTGTCGAATCAAAATTCTTTTCAAGGAAACACAACAACATATCATGATTATTTAGTCTACTAAGTTTCATAGAAACTGTCAAAAAATGTAGGAGATCTCCGGACAAAAAATCAAATACTGAAATGAACAAAGGGCAATTACTTTTGGAAAAATTGTTGAATCAAAATTCTTTTAAAGGCAACACAACTTCATATCATGATGATATTGTATACAAAGTTTCAAAGAGATCCGTTGAAAAATGTAGGAGATTGCCTGACAAAAATCAAAAACTGAATAGAACAAAGGGCAATAACTTTTGGAAAAATTGTCGAATCAAAATTCTTTTAGAAAAATCACAACTTCATATCATGATGATAATGTGTACCAAGTTTCAAAGAGATCGGTAGAAAAATGTAGGAGGAGATTGCCGGACAAAAGTTTACGCCGGCCGGCCGGACAATGCCTTACCATAATACTCCCGTCAAACTTTACGGGCGTATAAAACAACTTATCCCAAGCTTGTTGCGATTGACTTCTATGCTTAGTTTTCCCTATTCTTCAATCGCCCTGCATACAAGGTGGTATCCGGGCAAGGGATAAACAGAACCGACCAAAATTTAAAGTAACAACATTGGCTCTATCCCTGGAACTACATCAAAAAACACATGTATACACTGATACCCTTTTTCCTGATGCTTGCTAGAAATGATCAAATGAATAGTACATATCCCAGAAACAAAGTATAAAGAAAGATATTCATTTGCATACAATTGGTAAACCACAAAAAACAGAAAACAGACAAGTAAGTAATTTGTTCACTGTTTGCCTGACTATAAATCCCCAATATTTGCTAAACAGAAGCCACAGCAATCCTCTTTGATTCGTATTTTGTAATACCAGTACAGCTGTATAAGGTTTTCCCCATCTGACAAGTACCATTCACCAACAAGTAGGAACTAATTCAGACCAGCAGTGTAGAAGTTTTATAAGAACACAAAAAGTCTCAATGAATCGGCTTTAAGTCATGGCAGACATTTTGGTTTATGAGATGGGTAATATATGCTTACTAAGTACCATTTACCACAAAGTATGAACAAAATTGTATTTGTCTCAATGAATCACAGCGCCAAACAGTGGACTGCAAGGTCCAGGTAATATGGTGTAATTATCCAACTAGTTCCATTTTACCATTCGAACATCAACAAGTGAGAAAGGGCCATACACTGCAGTGTTGACAGTAAACTGTCCCGGTCCTATTTTTGTAACAGTGACTTGACTTTTGTGGATTCCTGTAATTATCAATCTAATATCACTTACCATCAAAATCAACATTGCTGATTCAGAAAGCGCAATATTATGCGTTTTGGAATTTATACCCTTTGCTCTATTTTAATAATAGTGAACTTGACCTTGACTTTAGTAACTTGCACATCTATATATTACAGTGTATGAGTATATGTAACTGAAGAAATTCTAGAATGCTGGGTCTGAGATAATCTCAGACAACCAAAAGTATGCCCAAACAGACATACGGACAGACACTGTCAGTACAATATGGCCTTTTCACCTCTGATACAGCACCTAAATAACGCGCTATTCTAATAGAACAGTTGATGCTTGTTTCCTTTGGAACAAAAGATGTTTTGTTGGCTATTCACCTGTAATCAGATCTACTGGTTTAGTAAACATGCAGTTAATTTGTTGTTCTCAAATCAGTCCTTGAATTATACACTACATCAGTATTAAACTAAAGTAGAGGTCAACTAGTGCTATCGATTTCAGAAAATCTGTCATGATTTTAATAGAGGATTAAGCACAGGTAAAGAAACAATGTTGGTTATTGCTGATCTAAGTTTCAGATCTAATGTTAATATCAGGAGTAGTACGCCTTGAGCACCTCAGAGTCTGACAGTGGCGTCTCACAGCGCTCAGACTTTATGTCCAACTGGCCATTTAATTTCTTTTGTACTGTATCTTTACAGTCTTCCATTGAATTGACTGCCACAGTACATGGCCTACCACCTACTGATTCTACTGGCTCAGAATTGACTGCCACAGTGCATGGCCTAGAACCTGCTGATTCTACCGGCTCAGATTTGACTGCCACAGTGCATGGCCTAGTACCTGCTGATTCTACTGGCTCAGAATTTACTGCCACAGTGCATGGCCTACCACCTACTGATTCTACTGGCTCAGAATTGACTGCCACAGTGCATGGCCTAGAACCTGCTGATTCTACTGGCTCAGATTTGATTTTCAGAGGCACAGCAGTATCCAGAACTGATGACGTTAATTGAGTTTCATCATAACTTGGTAACACAGGTTCCTTTTTAACCTTGATAGTTGTCTCCCTTGATATATCAGGTTCATCCTCTCTAATAGGCTCTGTTTTCACTCTAAGCATGGAAGGGGGTTCTGGAGTTATCCCCCCTTCTGGAAGACTATTTAGATTGTTAACTGAGGTGTCTTCATATGTAGCACCATTAAAGACTTTAACTAGTTTAAGTTTTTTGTTTGGTGGGTTCATGAAGTTGTCTGCCCCTGTCACAAACTCATCCACTGGCAAGCTTCTTTTACTTTGTATGGACTGTGTAGGATCTGAAATAACAAAATAATTATAAATGACTTCATTTAATATAATTGTTATGGATATATATTGGAATAATTCTTAATTTGTTCATGATATTCATCATTAACCATATAACTACAACATATTTTCAATACCTTTCACATACAATCCAAAGGAGAAAATTGTGTTTCATAGGATTGATACATCGTACGTTATTTTCCTAAACTCTTTTCATTGAATTCAGTACTATTGATTGGTGATTTATGTTATGGCTTCATTCTTCATGTAACGTCCTTTAATGTGGTCTATACAAGCTAATGCTTTAGGTTTCAATACTCTGGTGTTTAATTTTCACCAAGTCCTCTACACTTATGATCTAGTGTATAAAACATGAAATGTTCATTTCGTAAAACATTCGTGGTTTTTGTGGTTGCTATTGAACCACGAAAATAACTTCAATGAATTTGAATGATATACATGTCTACTGTTTGTTAATATAGGATATCCACAAAATTTTGTACCACGAAACAATCTAATTGGCTTCAAACCATGAAGGAAATTAAAGTACCCAAGTTAAACATGATTAATCGAGAGGAAACAAAGAATCGTGTTTCCTTACAACAAGGTCAATAAATGTATAACATCACTGGCCCTGTGGACCATGGTTCGCATACATCAACTTTCCCAGATTCACATGATTCTACTGACCAGATGTTTCCGTGTCTCCGTCGTAAGTCTTTTCCAGTTTTACTTGAGGACTTGTATTCAGCGCCCTGTTCCCTATGGTATCATCATCCTCTGCTAACACAATTTTTATTTCCTCATTATTTACAGAGTCCAGCATTACCACAGAGACAGAATCTTTCTTTCTGTCATTCTCAACCTTTTCTTTCTTATCCTCATCATCTTCATCATCTTCATTGTCATCCGATAGACAGAGGTCGACTGTGATGTTATTGTAATCCATTGGTTCAGGTTTTATGGTGACACAGTCAAGCTCCATATGCTCAGCATCATTCTCTCTGTTTGTGACAATTGTTACTTTGGTTGCTTTTTCTATTATCTGCTTTGACTTTTTTCTCTCTGTATCGTCAGTGATAGGGTCATCCTCAACACAATCCATCACTAAACCTTCGGCAGATGTATCAGACTTTTTGCCAGATCTTTCAACACAATCATCATCAGAGAATTCTACATTGTCTTCAGCATTTTCAAAGCCACCATCATCACTTTCCTCGTCACTAACAAGATCAATGCTGATTGGCTGCTGAGGTTTAGATACAGTCATTGGGTGAATTCCTTCTCTAAGAAATCCTTCAGAAATGTAGACTAGGCGATAGCCTTCATGCTGCTCGTTAGACAGAAAGCCTGGTAGATGGGCCACTTTAGCAAACATGTTGGCTTTGTCCCCTATGTTGGAGCTTTGTGTCCCTGGTAAGATATTGACGGTATCTGGGCTCTGACCTTGTTTGTCCGGTGGTAACTTGGTAACTGGGATCAGCACCTTGGTACCAGGTTCCACAGAACTAATGGCCACTGGTGTGCTTTTCCCAGCCACAAACACTGCTGTTTCATTGGTCATCTTAAACAGCATTTGCTTTAAATTTTCCTTGGCTTGCACCTGCCCTTCCACTTCAGATGGCTTTACAAGTGTTTTCTCACATGAGGGGTGCAGACCTTTCTTCCATTTCTCGTTTTCATCTTTCTTCAGAAGGACTGCTTGGTTGAGTGTGATTCGTGCATGCCAGAGTCTGCCTACAAGCTCCAACACTTCATTGTTCTTGTTGTCTGTGTGATTTGTGGCAATTTCCCTAAATACATTCCACTGGGCATCTATGACAGTCGGGATAAAGTCAAGCCAATGTTCGTAATGGTTGATGGCTATCAACTGAAGGCCGGGTGTGATAATGGTATCCACGCCTATCATCACCTTTATAAGTTCCTGAAATGATTTGGCTATACACTGACCCATCATCACGATGGTTTCCACTTTAGAATTACGTAATGAATGCACATTCTTCAAAATGCCACACAAGAGTTCATCAACAAGATCCTTGGAGAGTTTGTTCCCTTTGGCGAATACATTAGTGTTCACTGCCTTCGTCAGGCTTTGTAGTTCTGTCCACAGCACCATGACGACTTTGAACTTCTGATCGTAAACCTTGGCCAGGAACTGATGGGACTGCTGAGTCACATGACCTTCGATCGTGAGGCTGAGGCGGAGAAGTTCCTGTATGTTGGATGCTACACGGAACATGATCCTCTGGAATGAGTTCTCCAGACTGTCATGTACTGGGGCTGTGTTACTCCTCCTCATCTCCTGAATGAGTAAGACGTATATATATTACATGACAGTACCAGGCAAATGTTGTTATATCATGGTGACATAGATCTGCCATTGCATAACGAGATATTGTATACTGCAAAACATTCTCCAAGTCAAATGTATGCCTTTTACTGATAAAATTAATTTTCATCAAGTGCTAACTTAATCCTTAAAATGTAATTATTAAATATTATTTAATAATTACATTATATAGTATGCTGTATCTCATATATATTGTCATGATAAATTTATGCTCATTGCAGAATTTTAAAAATGTCAATAAGTAAATACATGTATTTACCTGATTGTCGTCATTCAGAGGAGTTGTACATGCTTTTGGTGTTTGCCTTCTGTTAAGTAACTTGGCCATGAGGCACTGTTTGGCAGTAATAGTGTTCGGACCCTTTGTTGACTGTGAGGTCACGTCATCATCCGACCTTGGTGAAGCACAAGGACTACAACTGAAGATGATGAACCAATATATTTACTGTAAAATTCATAGTGTATTTAACCTTACTAGCTAGATAACCCATTATGTGTAGAACCCTGCACATTTATTTATTGCAGAAATTGTAACTGGCAGTTGTTATTGCAGCAAAATTGAAATATCTTTACGTTGAAAATGATGTAAAAGTCCATGAATTGGACAAATTGTTTTTGGAACCAATAACACAGATTATCTTTATTTCATGTAAATTTGTTTTCAGAGTTTTACTTTTCTGTTCTTACTTATGAGAGTTTTTATAGTGAGATATAAGCTTAATTTCATAGCTAAAATTGACAGCATCTGTCATCATTTCTAAATCACATGGTTCGTCTATGTATTAGTTACCAGCGAGTTGTATAATAAAAAAATAATACCATTCACATGTGTCCGACAGGCTTTTATAAAGACAAGTTTTAATTACATTTGGTATATCATATGTATAGGTGTCAACCTCTAAAACCTCCATTGAGGGAGTTCTCCTTCATTCCACATTTCCAATGAGGGAGAAAGTGTGTGAAGTGTGACTTAAACTGCTTTGCTCAATTTATCTCTCCCTTTTTATGCATCAATATAACTCCAAAAAGCATTCATTTGATTCAGACACACCTGTTATGATCTTACACACACCCTGCTGTAACTAGGAGATCATTTGACAACAGGGTGTAGATTTTAAGTTTGTGTGAGTTTGGACTTTGGAGTTTCGAAGGACATTGGTAAATTTTGGTCAAAATGAAGGAGTCACCCTCCTAAAGAGGGAGTGTTGACAGCTATGCATACCGCCCACGGGAGGTCACAGCCTTACTTTTGTCTATTGAATTACTTGATATGTTTAACAAGTTATGTCTTCTTTATTTTTACTTCTGTTTATATCCAGCCAGTGGATTGCAGATTGAAATGAATTCTGTGTTGTTTTTCCCATCCCTCTCCTATGTTGAGGTGCAGAAATTGCTAGTTTTCTAACGCAAGAGATCCTAAGTTTTACAGAAAAGCATGATCAAGTTGATGTTTTTTCACTAAGCTTTTGTTGACTGATGAGTCACTGACCTGTCTTTTACACTGTGGTCCAGCTTGCCGAGGTTGTACAACAGATCCAGGTGACTCTGCTGAGATACCTCCATACCACCTTTATTGATGCTATTTTTTAATTTCAGAGCACAAGCCTCGTTGTGACTTTCAAAACTGCCATCTTCTGAAATGTCAATCAATTCTTTTGACACTTTTCCAGTTCTAGTGACACCGAATTGTATTTGGATGTTGTCATTAACCCGTATCCTCTTGCCGTCGAGTCTGTGATTTTGATCACTGCGATGAACAGCCAAAGATGAATCCAGATAAAATCGTTGACTACACGACTTACATTTGATATTAAACAAATCTTCATGTATTTTCATTATGTGGCAATAAAGCTTTTCACGCTTACTGAACAAGGATCCACAAAATCTACATTTGAGGAAATCTGACCAAAATGCGACTTCCCCCTTGTGCTTGCTCAAATGTTTTTCTGCCTCGACCACATTGGGAAAGTCCTCGCGACACAACATACAGAGGTAGGTCAGGGGCTGGAGGTGGTTACATACATGGGTCTGTAATGCTTCCCTAGTAGACTGGTTCTTTCCACAGAATGCACAGGCAGTGTCCAAGCTGTGGACTGTCTGTTCATGCTTGATGACAAACGCCTCGGATTTGAACTGTGCCCCACAGTGGGTACAACCACAAGGGTGTAGTTGGGGGTAGTATGAATGTACTGTACGCATGTGTACAGTCAGATTGGCCTTACAATTAAACATCACCTCACACAGGTAACACTTATGTTGACCTCTTTCAGTGTACTGCTCATTCTCTACACTAAAACTGTCAGCTTCTACATCACCACCAAGAGACGGATCCTCTATGGCAATGACCTCTGGTGAATTGCTCTCAGATCTGGAGGTAGAGGGTGTTGTGGTTTGAGTGTCCAGTCTGGCTTTGATGTCCCCATTTCGTGTTACAACTTGTGAATTGAGGTCAGTCACTGTTGCTATGGTTTCAGCCTCTTTCTGATCAACTTTCCTTGGTGACCTTCTCACCTTAGGTTTAATCAGTCTAATATCATCAATGTCGGATACAACCTTTGTCTGCTCCATGTCAGTTTCATCTCCCATGTTAGAAAAAACAACATTTGGTCTCTTATTGTCTGGTACATTTCCTGGTCCAGAACTTTGACCTTCAGACTGACCTTCCATAACTTGTCCTTGGTGCACATATGATGTTGTCTTAGACAATTCATAAGCTTGTGGCAGAGTTACATCCTTGCCTATGGAGACAGTTTCCCTACTTTTTTTATTTATTATATGCTTTCTTTCTGAAGATACATTTTGAGATGTTCCCAGAACATCTTTGGACAAAGATCTCTCAATAATTTCCTGAGAAACAGCTTCATCACTAATCACTAACTCAATAGGATGAGCTGCAGATGAATTTTCCTGATTACAAGCCTTGTCATCAAATGTTGGAGTACTGTCAAAGGGGCACAACTCCGGTGTTTTAATATCAGTCCTTTCATCAATACCAGTTTCTTGTGTGATTTCATCATCCTGTAAAATGTCAGTGGAACACAAATCCGTCTCGTCAAACAGACGGATGTCATCCATGTCAATGTCGCCATCATCATCATCGTCAAACTCCAACAAGGCATCTTTATATATAATAGAAATTTAAAATATGAAGCATAAATCAATTAGCACAAAATAAAACTATCTTCAAAAACAACTGATATGTTTTGAAAAACTCTAAAGGACTGCAATGTAAATTCTTTACAATTATGATGGTATCAATCCAATTGTTTACAAACATATTTCCTGATGTGTCATACTAACATAAATGTTCAGAATATGCATTACAATCCTTCAGTGATTTTTGCAGAATTTTTTCATGGACATCTTATCAAAATTTTGAACAGTCCCATTACTCATTTACTACGAGATTGTGGGTCCTTAAACGTTGGTGAGTCTCACAGGTAATGTATAAGTCTAGGAGTCAAACATCTGAGTCCCGAACATCACTGGTCCTTACACATTTACATTTAGAAACACCAAAGGAAATTCTATTTTATATAACTAGGTGGTTGGCCATATAATCTATCTTTACCTTCCTTCTGATCTTTGAGAAAATTGACTTTAGAAAGGAAACAGTACTCACTATGTCTAGAAAAAGATGTACCTTCAGCGTCATCATCTGTATTCACCTCCTCCTCCTCATTGCCTGTAATTGGCTCTGCATCGTTCTCCATGTTCCTATTCCTCTGGTCACTGTTCAAAATTATGTTCCGATGGTCCCCCTCTCACGGATCATCTTTAGGTTCTGATTATCCTTTAGTAGTTTGAAAAAGAAGTTCAGTGTTAATATCCATAGTTATTCTGGCTTTAGCACAACAAAGCATTACATTATCATTTTCACTTAGTATCTTATGGTATGTGAGCTAATAGAGATTATATATCTGTCCCTTCCACAAGCCACTACCTCCCACCCACAATCCATCCTGCCTAGTGTCCTCTGGTCTATAACAACATACTTATATCAACTCCATGTTATCATTGGACCATTTCGCTGTTATAAATACAATTCTGAATGTCTTTTGGGCTTACTGATAGCTGCAGCCATACCCAGGAAACACCATTGAATTACTGTAATCCTACTATATACCACCTGATTCTTGTGACCTCTCTAGTAAGTTATACCCTGTTTCCACCACATACATTTATCGAGTATTACAATGACAGACACATGTATAGCATGAACATTAGATTTTGAGTTTGTGTGAGCTTGGACTTGAATGAGGGAGTTTCGAGGGAGATACAAAATTCACGTACACACAGATAGAATTATATCAGAAGCTCTACATGTTTACAACTCAATAATAATACACGAAGTCCAACAACATACCTTCCCTCCCGCCTTGAACGGCATGTGTACCATGCGTGCCTTACCTGGCTTGTTTACAAAATAATGGGTGTTAGTCCGGCCTATCAAAACAATTTATAGCTGTTCACAGATATATATGGTGCTTTTGTATATCCAAAAGTTACTGTGATCGAACATGGCTAACAGCTAAATCACGGTCTAGCCCCTAGGCCTATTTACTTTTACTTTCTGCAAGTATAAGTTGTGTGCATTGTTGTTTTCTCGGAATACTCTGCTGATTTCTATCCGCTCAAGCCTCGAAATTGAGATTATCCGAACGATAAGGCGTGTTCGATTAGGACTAGAAATAATTTCAGAGTGTGTGTATAGGCCTTTATATAGAGTAATTGAATCAAGTCGGCTAATATTTCTTTTAGAAAAAAATAATGTTAGAAAATGAGTAACAATTCTGATTCAATTAAAATATATGTACATCATAACCAGACATTTGATATACATAAGAGGAAACAAGATCAAGGGACCGGTAACATCCGCCCGGTTTTCGCCTTTTGGATCATCATGTAGGCTTCCCTTTTGTTTTGTTGTCTCATAAAATGATTGTCTCCACGTGTTAATTAGAGTTCCATTTGCTCCCTTGTTAATCGATGCTATGATATGTTTTACGTTTTGCTGAGCATTCTATGATTCAGTGGATTAATTCAATATTAATTAAACAACATAATCTTGTTGGATCAATTATACATTTATGTGTTATTTTGTAGAACATTGGATATTTCATAGAATATTTTTGTGAACATTGACAACTCTTTTCTTATATCGTATCAAACGACCAACATTCAAAGAAGTTAAAAACAAAGAAGACAAAATTAGAAACTGTAACATTCACTTTCTAAATCAAATGATTATATTTATATCTTAGTTACGTTAATAGTTATATTGTGATTATCTACAAATTATAAAAATACAATGTTACCTGTTATTCGCCATGGCAACTTATCTAACTCCGTGGCCACACTGACAATCCTTTCCGATTATTGCACAGGAACAGGAAAGTATATCTGATACAATTCGGTTGTCACTGGGACAATTACTTTTTGATATAAATCAGGTAAACTGGTATCAAACCTGTTTTTAAAATACTTTTGAACAGATTTCTTCCCGCTAATCGAAAAGCTAGTGGCATTTAATATCACGCCTGCCTCGCAGGTAAATTTAAGTACGTGTCCGCATAGAAATATCAATTATTGATGTACTTAGCTTTAGGCCACCCGTCATTTTTTATGACACAGTAATTGTATCATATAGTTCGTTGTCCCTGATGACAGTAACATACAGTGGAATGTTATAATTTTATAAGATTTCAATTCAACACCATCCGTGTGAAATTGATGTGAGAAATCCGCATAGTATCAATGTTTTAGTTGGTTGCGCTTTACTTCCCAAAGAAGCACCTGCCTCTGGCTCAATTAGTCCACGTTGCAATCAATCAATCAAACATCCAAAAGAATATCAAATACTGTTAACGTGCATATTTTAGCGGTAGTCTTACTTTAGCTTTTTCATTAATGCGCTAAATTATTGTGACAAAGTGAGCGCTACCAAACTTAAACAAAACATGTTGATATGGTAATAGAATAACATTTTATAAACTCTTAACTGGAAGTTGTATTGACGCTTAGAAAATGGGGACCAATGTAGCACATAGGGCTTACCAGAGGGGAAGGATAGCAGATATGTTACGTGTTGTTTGGAGTTTGGTATCCGAGTACATTAGTTCGGGAGTGCATATTGGCCGAAACTGCGTAACTTATTGCACATACCGGTAATTAGGGAATAGCTACGGGGCAATGTAATATACACCATCTATTAATAGTTCTTACAACAAGTTATCTCAAAAAGTTGAAATAAAGAGTATCACACGGACCCACAAAACCACCACATGGAGACTTTTTACGTGGGACCATTACAATCCACCACGTGGAGACTTTTTATGCAGGAATACAACAATCTACCACATGTATACTTTTTACGCGGGACCACCACAAACCACCACGTGGAGACTTTTTACACTGGACCACCACAATCTACCACGTGGAGACTTTTTACGCGGGACCACCACAATCCACCACGTGGAGACTTTTTACGCGAGACCACCACAATCCACCACATGGAGACTTATTACGCGTTACCCACCACCACAATCCACCACGTGGAGACTTTTTACGCGGGACCACCACCACAATCCACCACGTGGAGACTTATTACGTGGGACACCACCACAATCCACCACGTGGAGACTTTTTACGCGGGACCACCACTACAATCCACCACGTGGAGACTTATTACGTGGGACCCCACCACAATCCCCCACGTGGAGACTTTTTACGCGGCACCACCACAAACCACCACGTGGAGACTTTTTACGCGGGACCACCACAATCCACCACGTGGAGACTTCTTTCGCGGGACCACCACAATCCACCACGTGGAGAGTTGTTGTGGTGGATCATGCACTAACCTTCATATTTAGTTATTTGAATTTTCTTATAACTACTTTTATTTTTATGTGTGATCTCATGTATTCAAGTATAACGTTTATTCTTTTAATATGTTCTGTTTTGATAGCTATTGTTTGAGCTAAGAACACTATTTTTGTGTTAACCACTCAAAATATTCGATTTACACTCTTTCTACTGTTTTACATTATGCTACAGTAGCATGTATTCGACGAGTTATCTAAACGTAGGTTTACATGCCGTTGTGAGATTTGTTTGATCTTTCATGTTTCGTTCTATTTTACATTGCTATCTGTGATCCATGCTACCAAGGTGATATATTTGTTTGTGTTTATATCATCCTGTGTTGCTATCATCGTAAGAACAGCCCTTGGCTATGGTAACTTTACTCAAAACATGCGGCGTAACACTAAGTCACGTTTATGGTATGTTTTATTACTTTTGAATTGCCATTTTCCTACTATTGCAAAAGCGACATAAGGACCTGCCCAAGTAACTTGTTTGTATAGGATATTGATCTTTGTTCAATTTTACAACAAGTGTCTTTGAATTTTAGAAGTGTATACGGCAAGATTATAAAAGTAGCCTTGCGCTTCAGCCTTGACACAGGTAAGGAAAATATAATCACCATTTGAAAATGAGCTCTTAGAGCAATGTGTAAGTAAGGACGAGGAGGATGTGTCTTTATTTAAGTTACCAGCACTGACTAGTAGAGATTAAGTATCTTGAGGTGGTCGGGTGGCGCAGTGGATATCGCACTCGCCTTACTTCACGATCGGACGTGACAAGGTATGTGTTCACCTGCCTACCACGTGGGTAATCTCTGGGTACACCGGTTTTGTTCCCACATTAAGACCTCCCAGCGCGCTAAAATCCGGGTCAAAAAGAGTGATTTATATAAGTTGTAATAATTTGTTTTATAATTGTTGTAAAAAAAATAAAGTTTATATTTAATTTAGTATAAAACAGGGACATATTTGCTAAACGGACAGTCTGGTTTGGGCCAGTAGAAGGAACAGGTTATATTGTTTGGTCAGCGAGAGTGTCCACGTCTTAGAAGCCATAAAGAGCGTACATGTCTTAGATGCTAGAGAGAGTGTATATGTCTTAGATGCTAGAGAGAGTGTACATGTCTTAGATGCTAGAGCGAGTGACCATGTCTTAGATGCTAGAGAGAGTGCACATGTCTAAGATGCTAGAGAGAGTGACCATATCTTAGATGCTAGAGAGAGTGTACATGTCTTAGATGCTAGAGAGAGTGCACATGTCTTAGATGCTAGAGAGAGTGTAATGTCTTATATGCTAGAGAAAGTACACATGTCTAAGATGCTAGAGAGAGTGCACATGTCTTAGATGCTAGAGAGAGTGTACATGTCTTAGATACTAGAGAGAGTGTACATGTCTAAGATGCTAGAGAGAGTGCACATGTCTTAGATATTAGAGAGAGTGTACATGTCTTAGATACTAGAGAGAGTGTACATGTCTAAGATGCTAGAGAGAGTGCACATGTCTTAGATGCTAGAGAGAGTGTACATGTCTTAGATGCTAGAGAGAGTGTAATGTCTTATATGCTAGAGAGAGTGCACATGTCTTAGATACTAGAGAGAGTGTACATGTCTTAGATGCTAGGGAGAGTGTACATGTCTTAGACGCTAGAGAGAGTGCACATGCCTTAGATGCTAGAGAGAGTTCACATGTCTTAGATGCTAGATAGATATAAGAGAGAGTGTACATGTCTCAGATGCTAGAGAGAGTGCACACGTCTTAGATGCTAGAGACAGTGTACATGTCTTAGATGCTGGAGAGAGTGCACATGTCTTAGATGCTGGAGGAGTGTACATGTCTTAGATGCTAGAGAGAGTGTACATGTCTTAGATGCTAGAAAGAGTGACCATGTCTTAGATGCTAGAGAGAGTGCACATGTCTTATATGCTAGAGAAAGTGCACATGTCTTAGATGCTAGAGAGAGTGTACATGTCTTAGATGCTAGAAAGAGTTTACATTTCTTAGATGCTAGAGAGAGTGTACATGTCTTAGATGCTAGAGAGAGTGCACATGTCTTAGATGCTAGAGAGAGTGCCCATGTCTTAGATGCTAGAGAGTGTAATGTCTTATATGCTAGAGAAAGTGCACATGTCTTAGATGCTAGAGAGAGCGTAATGTCTTATATGCTAGAGAAAGTGCACATGTCTTAGATGCTAGAGAGAGTGACCATGTCTTAGATGCTAGAAAGAGTGTACATGTCTTAGATGCTAGAAAGAGTGTACATGTCTTAGATGCTAGAAAGAGTGACCATGTCTTAGATGCTAGAGAGAGTGTACATGTCTTTGATGCTAGAGAGAGTGCACATGTCTTAGATGCTGGAGAGAGTGACCATGTCTTAGAACCCAGAAGAAGTGTTCATGTCTTAGATGCTAGAGAGAGTGTACATGTCTTTGATGCTAGAGAGAGTGCACATGTCTTAGATGCTGGAGAGAGTGACCATGTCTTAGAACCCAGAAGAAGTGTTCATGTCTTAGATGCTAGAGAGAGTGTACATGTCTTTGATGCTAGAGAGAGTGCACATGTCTTAGATGCTAGAGAGTGTACATGTCTTAGATGCTAGAGAGAGTGTACATGTCTTAGATGCTAGAGAGAGTGCACACGTCTTAGATGCTAGAGACAGTGTACATGTCTTAGATGCTAGAGAGTGTACATGTCTTAGATGCTAGAAAGAGTGTACATGTCTTAGATGCTAGAAAGAGTGCACATGTCTTAGATGCTAGAGAGAGTGTAATGTCTTATATGCTAGAGAAAGTGCACATGTCTTAGATGCTAGAGAGTGTAGATGTCTTAGATGCTAGAGAGAGTGACCATGTCGTAGATGCTGGAGAGAGTGCACATGTCTTAAGATGCTAGAGAGAGTGTACATGTCTTAGATGCTAGAGAGAGTGACCATGTCTTAGATGCTAGAAAGAGTGTACATGTCTTTGATGCTTGAGAGAGTGCACATGTCTTAGATGCTAGAGAGAGTGTACATGTCTTAGATGCTAGAGAGAGTGACCATGTCTTAGATGCTGGAGAGAGTGCACATGTCTTAGATGCTAGAGAGTGTACATGTCTTAGATGCTAGAGAGAGTGACCATGTCTTAGATGCTAGAAAGAGTGTACATGTCTTTGATGCTAGAGAGAGTGCACATGTCTTAGATGCTGGAGAGAGTGACCATGTCTTAGAACCCAGAAGAAGTGTTCATGTCTTAGATGCTAGAGAGAGTGTACATGTCTTAGATGCTAGAGAGAGTATACATGTCTTAGATGCTGGAGAAAGTGTACATGTCTTAGATGCTAGAGAGAGTGCACATGTCTTAGATGCTAGAGAGAGCGTACATGTCTTAGATGCTAGAGAGAGTGTACATGTCCATGCATCCTAAGATTATCAAGTTGTCTTAGATGCTAGATAGATATAGGTTTGATTCAACTGACATTACTTAGCTGGAAGATTGGAGACACAATGTAGAGGTTACAAGGTTATATTACAGTACTAGATGAGATGTTGTTACACCTGTACATGTAATATAATGTGACTGTTGATTTAAATCTATGAATAATAACCAATGACTATTACCATCTATTATGTATATGGGCGTTAACGGCTACTGTGTCACATTACATCTGTCAATAAAATGTGTTGAAATGAAATGTTGCCCTTAAGTGTGTCCACCACATTGTTTAAGTATTTAAAATCCTCATCATTTCTCAACAGAATTAGTAAACTATCACTTACGCTATGTGACTAGAACATTGATTTACAACTGCTGAGGTATGTCCACATGAAGGGTGTCAAATGTACTGTGTTGGTATCATTGACAGGCGTATTTCAGATACGCCTGACATGTTAAAGTCCTGTAGTTAAACAGCTGCTGAATGTCAGAGGGGACATTGTTATTTGGTTAAAAGGTGGTAATATAAATATGGAATAGAACACTACTTATCTACAGCTGCTAAACAAGACCCAATGAGGGAGTATAAATACTGCTAGGACAGCGGATCAAAGTTATGAGCAAAGGTCAAAAGGTTGATGTCATAACGTCAATATCACCAACTAAGGTCATTTAAAGTTTAAAATTAATGGAAGGTCGTCACATTTCAAATGTTCATAAAAACACACACAAATGCAGAGAAGTATTTATTTGAGATTCAGGGGCTGAAGGTCAGTCCTTTGGTTAAAGATTTTTGCATGTTTTTCCTTTAATAGATATTAAATCTAGTTTGTTGTACCAGTGGCTGTGGTTCTCCTCTATCAGGATACAGGTGGAGTCTGTGATGAACCGTGCATATAAATAAGAGTACAACATGATAAAAGAATAGGTATTTTAGTAACCTTGACAAATTTTATTAAAAACATAACCATAAGAACAATGATACAAATTGGTGCATTGTATATTAAAATATTTGTCAAGATTTATCCATATATATGTACACTGCATATATGATATTTACAGCAGGTATATATAACTCCCACAATCATCACCATGACCAGGCATCAGTTATATCTATCTTGTATAAAACTTCTCTCTCTTATGCAAATCTTTTTTTCCACAAAAAAAAAGAACCCATTGAAGTATGAAAGGGCCAACAGAGTGCTTCAGTAATTAATCTGGGCAAACATTACCAAAGTAATAGGCACAACTTATCAGGGGCCTGTTTGTTAATGTCAAACAACCGGTTGGTCTGTTTTTAAATGTAACATTGTTTGGTATACATCCTAGCCGACCTGCAAAAGTTTATGCAGGCCTTGCAAGGCTTTGACAAGGCTCGCGTGAAAACAGCATCTGATTACTGGGTCCGACCTTATTTCATAAACAAACAACTCTGGTTCAACCAGTTCAAGTGTTTGGATCGTGATGATCGAAAGCGGCCCTTGTCTATCTAAAGAGGAACTATGGCCTCTCACACGGCCCTATGGAGGAATTACGGTAGTTAAGATCATACTCTAGCCTGTCTTATATAGATGGCCTCTCACACGGCCCTATGGAGGAATTACGGTAGTTAAGATCATACTCTAGCCTGTTTTACAGAGATGAGGACATGACTTAACATTATCCAATGATCCCAACGTTCTCGCTAAAGAAACATTGCTCTATCCAATCTACTTAAGTTGGAGGTTGGTCATTACTCATATCCTATTTACCACAGTTGGAGGCATGATCAATCTTATCTACCTGAGGTGGAGGCATGATCAATCTTATCTACCTGAGGTGGAAGCATGATCAATCTTATCTACCTGAGGTGTAGGCATGATCATTCTTATCTACCTGAGGTGGAAGCATGATCAATCTTATCTTCCTGAGGTGGAAGCATGATCAATCTTATCTACCTGAGGTGGAGGCATGGCTACATTCCGTCTACTAAAGTTGTAGGCGTGGCCTTACTTTTCTAGTTCCGTTGGAAGTGTGGTCAATCTGCCATGGTAAGCGGTGTGGCTAAGCTTATCTAGTTCAGTGGGAAGTGAAGTCAAACTGCCATGGTAAGTGTTGTGGCTAAGCTTATCTAGTTCAGTGGGAAGTGAAGTCAATCTGCCATGGTTAGCGGTGTGGCTAAGCTTATCTAGTTCAGTCGGAAGTGTTGTCAATCTGCCATGGTTAGCAGTGTGGCTAAGCTTATCTAGTTCAGTGGGAAGTGTGGTCAATCTGCCATGGTTAGCGGTGTGGCTAAGATTATCAAGTTCAGTGGGAAGTGTTGTCAATCTGCCATGGTTAGCGGTGTGGCTAAGATTATCAAGTTCAGTGGGAAGTGTTGTCAATCTGCCATGGTTAGCGGTGTGGCTAAGTTTATCTAGTTTAGTGGGAAGTGTAGTCAATCTGCCATGGTTAGCAGTGTGGCTAAGCTTATCAAGTTCAGTGGGAAGTGTGGTCAATCTGCCATGGTTATATAGCGGTGTGGCTAAGCTAATCTGGTTCAGTGGGAAGTGTTGTCAATCTGCCATGGTTAGCGGTGTGGCTAAGCTTATCAAGTTCAGTGGGAAGTGTTGTCAATCTGCCATGGTTATATAGCGGTGTGGCTAACATTATTTAGTTCAGTGGGAAGTGTGGTCAATCTGCCATGGTTATAAAGCGGTTTGGCTAAGCTTATCTAGTTCAGTGGGAAGTGTGGTTAATCTGCCATGGTTATAAAGCGGTGTGGCTAAGCTTATCTAGTTCAGGGGGAAGTGTGGTCAATCTACCATGGTTATAAAGCGGGGTGGCTAAGCTTATCTAGTTCAGTGGGAAGTGAAGTCAATCTGCCATGGTTATAAAGCGGTTTGGCTAAGCTTATCTAGTTCAGTGGGAAGTGTGGTCAATCTGCCATGGTTAGCGGTGTGGCTAAGCTTATCTAGTTCAGTGGGAAGTGTTGTCAATCTGCCATGGTTATAAAGCGGTTTGGCTAAGCTTATCCAGTTCAGTGGGAAGTGAAGTCAATCTGCCATGGTTAGCGGTGTGGCTAAGCTTATCTAGTTCAGTGGGAAGTGTGGTCAATCTACCATGGTTATAAAGCGGTGTGGCTAAGCTTATCTTGTTCAGTGGGAAGTGTTGTCAATCTGCCATGGTTAGCAGTGTGGCTAAGCTTATCTAGTTCAGTGGGAAGTGAAGTCAATCTGCCATGGTTAGCGGTGTGGCTAAGCTTATCTAGTTCAGTGGGAAGTGTGGTCAATCTGCCATGGTTAGCGGTGTGGCTAAGCTTATCAAGTTCAGTGGGAAGTGTTGTCAATCTGCCATGGTTATATAGCGGTGTGGCTAAGCTTATCTAGTTCAGTTAGAAGTGTGGTCAATCTGCCATGGTTAGCGGTGTGGCTAAGCTTTTCTAGTTCAGTTAGAAGTGTGGTCAATCTGCCATGGTTAGAGGTTTGGCTAAGCTTATTTTCCTTAGGGTTAGCATTTTGGATAAGCTTATCTACCTTAGGGTTAGCTGTTTGGCTAAGCTTATCTACCTAAGGGTTAGCGGTTTGGCTAAGCTTATCTACCTTAGGGTTAGTGGTTTGGCTAAGCTTCTCTACCTTAGGGTTAGCGATTTGGCTAGGCTTATCTACCTTAGGGTTAGCGGTTTGGCTAAGCTTATCTACCTGAGTTGGAGATGTGGTTTTATCCTATGTCTTGTAAGTTACTAGAAACCTTCCACCACAGATATATATAGCAATCGATGGTTTTAAGTATATTTTTTTTTGTAAATGACATTCCCACCTTGTTTGATACTTTCATTCACACTGCTACAATAGAAATAGGAAAGCTTAAATCAGACAGATGATGGAGAACATTTGGTGTTCCTTTCTTAGATGCATATCCAATATTTGTGTTTCAAAAGACTTTGAGAAATATTGTTTAATATTGAGCCCCTTTATTGGTCTAAGAGACATAAGCATGCAATGATTGTTGGATTATCCCCCTCCAGCACACTCTCCTCCTGAGCTGCAGGTGTTAAGCTTGGGGAATCACCACGTCCCATCAATATATAATTCCTTGTTGATCGACTTACATCACATTACTTAATCACTTCTCCACATACAATATGTATCTGTCCTCAGAGCTGTTTGTCGAGCCAGATTGAATCGTGATTTCTCCCTCATGCTCCACATATGGTTCTGCTATTTCCGTAACAACGGACACTATAACACAACCGTCCTCTTCTGCTGAATTGCTGCCGACGCTAGCGGTCTGGTTCACACTGACCGCCTCTGTCTCAGCTTCACTGGCACCAACAGAGGTCAGTGATATGTCCACTACTGATGTGTCCACTTCGGTGTTGACCACCGCTGAATTGCTACCTGAAGTGTAACTTACATTTGCTACGAGTTGCGGTGAAGCTTCAACCATGGTTACCTCCCCTTGTACAACAAGCGGTGCAGCTTCTAATGCAGGAACAGTTTGCGGGGTAATCTTCTCTGATACTGAACTTGGTGTCTCTTGTTTCTGACCTGAAGACTTTTTCTCCATAGAGGCTGAAATTTTCTGTTGATTAGAATCCGTTGCTGTCTCCTCGATTATAACTGTAGTTTTTTCGCTGGTATCCATAGAAACCGTTCTTGAATCTGTCTGTTCAACTTTGATCTTTTTAACTTGTATGTTAATAGGTGTTGGCTCATACACTGGTCCAACATTGTCATCCTCCTCATCCGATAGTACATTTGTATCTACAAAACAGGTAAACAACTTGTTATCAACAGTTAAACATCTGGTTATCAACAGATAGTAATTAGTTGTCAACAGGTAATTTATTTTTAATACTTCTATATGAGATACTATGCAATATATTTATCAACACCAACAATGTAAGTTAAGAATCATGCCCAGGCCCCTGGGACACATGGTAAGTTCTACACAATGGACAAATACGGTGTAAATTATTTCAGAAAAACTCACAGGAGATCCTTGAAGGAAAATCAAATCTTTAGAAGTGTTAGAAGGTCCCTTTGCCTGACAATCAACCTCTTTTTACCTCTAAAATGTCACACCCTATTTCTCTCCTTGGCTGACAACCACCCTCTTTTCAGCTCTAAAACATCACTCCCTATTTCTCTATACTTACAGTGGATGTTGTCCTCGCTGTCAGATAAGTCGAGGGGCTCACTGCGAATGATTGTAAAACATTTCTTCTGCTTATTGGGATCCTCCTCCTCAGCAGCCATATCATCACCCATATCATCGTCATCAGAGTCAGAATCGTCTCCCCTTGGTTTGGTCGTCAAATTTGGGTAGAAGAGCTAGAGAGAGCAGAGATAAAACAATAGAGGCTCTCTAGTATTCCCACTTTAAGTATAAGACACGGAACCCTACTAGTTTCTACAGAATGCAGGCTTTGAAATGTTATCTCACTGTTGAAATTTTGTTATTTTTCCTCAAAATTCATGAAAAGACAAAATATGGGTCATTGACCTTTTAAGGGAGTCGGAACATTTGAATGAGATTTTACATTTGTGAACATGCATAGTGCTTATATGCACTTTTCACCAAATTGATAACCTTACAAATGTTTACTTCATGAGTACCTGAAATTTGGATTTAAATGCAAGTCAGCTTTATGACCCTGGGGAGATAGCTCCATCCTTAAGATATAAAGATTTAGGAATATTTAGCAGATTTGGTGACAAAAATGTTTAAGAAATTATCGCAACAAAGGATTTATGACAGGATACTAATACACATGAAGAGATAGAGTACCACGAACACACTACTTCAATAGTGGTCATTTAAGACTGGATGCAACTTACCGGCCATGCTAGGCGAGGTGTGAGGTTACGCCCAGGTATAGAAAACAGTTTAATGGTTTCTTTGCTGCCCTCTGTTTCCTTCAACTTCATCAACCTTTTTGTGGGTGGAGCAAGGTCAAGCGAGGTCACAATGTCGGAGGTATCGGACACCCTCATCTTCATCATTACTGTTGGGATCTCCTTCTGTTTGTCCACAATCAGACCACATCCCTTCGACCGTGATGATCGTCCTGGGCCTAAAACAAAACATTTAACCTGTCATAACAACATGTAATAATGTACATTTTAACCTAGATTTGAAACAATTTTGGATGTTTACATTCACAGTGGCCTATCAAGTCCAACAACCTTACACATTATTTGATTTATGCAGGATGTCAAAATATCTTAGATAGGGGAGGACAGTGTTAAACAGAATGATAGAACACCTGGGGCTGATTGGAAGTTTTAAGACAGATTAATACACTTTCTATTTTTTACACATGTATACTTTCATCCTTTTGAACATGTTCGTTTTGTTTCTAAACATGTTTGTTTCCAAGCTTAAATATAATCTTCGAGAGCATAAGGCCAAACAAGAAATATTTTGTGTTTCCGGTAACCCTACCTACTCTAACTTTTTGTGCCTATCCTTAAATTTTTAAGGCAATTTTCAAAGAAGCACTGTTAAAGTCAAGATCAATCTCCAATATACATCATATGAAATTATGTTAAAAAATAAAACCGGTTACCTATCTATCTACCTACCTAATTTTTCAACATGTTACAGGAAACACATTTATTTTTTTGTCTGGTCTAGTGGAGATGGGTGGTGATCACTTGTCACATTTAACTTCACACAGACAGACATGGATGTCTTACCTTTCTTCCTCCACTCCCGACTACGAGGAACAGATGGGCGGAATACGGTATTAGATTGGGTCAGAGGATATTTAATCACTTGGTGATGACCCCCAGGCGCAACCACATATGTCTCTGGACAGGGTTTAGTAGGAGCGACCTTGACCTTTGGTGTGGTGACCTTGACAGGGGCTGGTTTCATCTCCACCTGAGTGATGATTTTAACCTGTTTAGCAACAGCCTGAGGCATAACTTTAGATTTCTTGCCTGCTGCCTTTGGTGTGTTTCTGGGTTTCTTTGCAACCGGTTCTGGTGAGATTTCTCGTTGGATGTCTTTTGGTTCTGTTCCTTGTACTCGGTCTAGTAGTACTACTGGTTGGACGAGCTTCTTTGGGCTTACTACCTTTGTAGCTGGGTTAACTACCTTGGTCGCTGTGCTAACTATCTTGGTCGCTGGGCTAACTATCTTGGTCGCTGGGCTAACTATCCTGGTCGCTGGGCTAACTATCTTGGTTGTAGCAACAACTCTGGTGTTGTTGACTGGTTTTGTCAGATTAACTGCAGTACGTGTAGATTTGCGAGTCGCTCTCACTTCAATAATATTTCCAGATTTTTTTAATGCTGAAATAAAAAGATAAAAAAAGATAAAATTCTAAGTTGTATTTGGCCTATACTAGAGTTCTACAGAACTGTTACATGAGTCACATTAAATGTAGCTAAAAACTCATATCTTTCAGTTTATGTGAAAATTTTATGATTAACAGTACATGTATTGCTTTATGAGTTGATATCACAGACAATGTCATGTTAAATTCCACATACCCCGGGTATGAGTTTCACAGATTCATGCCAACACATACTGTTTGTGATTTTCTGTGAATATCTACCAATTTTTAAATGACAAGGCAATACACCTAATGGGTAAATGGTAGGGTCTTGATTGTTATGTATTACACCTTTTCTATAGGAGTAAAACAACATCTTTCTCACATGCACTGGTCAGCAATTTGGACTAGTAGCGTTTACAAGAGGCCCATGGGCCTTAACAGTCACCTGAGTCCTACAGTATTTTTTGTTGTTGTTGAAATATGTACCAATTTGAGTAAAAAATAGGTAAGTATAAAGTTAACTTAAGTTTGTCAGGACCATGAGCTGAACATTCCTAGACCGATTTTCAGTTAAATCGGCCTATTAGAACTTGTTTTTAAGTTTGAAATAGTTATTTTCAAAATAGCGACCGTATCAGCCATATTGGATTTCTGATTGACCCGAAAAACAACAACACTTTGTCAGGACCATGAGTCGATCATTCCTACAAAGTTTCATTTCAATCGGCCTGACAGAACTTGACTTTAAGTTTGAAATAGTTTTTCAAAATGGCGGCCATATTGGATTTCTGATCAACCCCAAAAATAACAACACTTTGTCAGGACCATGAGACGAACATTCTTCCCAAGTTTCATTTCAATCGGCCTGACAGAACTTGACTTTAAGTTTGAAATAGTTTTTCAAAATGGCGGCCATATTGGATTTCTGATCAACCCGAAAAATAACAACACTTTGTCAGGACCATGAGTCGATCATTCTTACCAAGTTTCAGTTCAATCGGCCCAGCAGAATTTGACTTTAAGTTTGAAATAGTTTTTCAAAATGGCGACCGTGGCGGCCATATTGGATTTCTGATCAACCCGAAAAATAACAACACTTGGTCAGGGAGATGTCAGTAACCTTCCCATGAAATATTAATGAAATCCCTTTGCCAGTATTTCAGCTTAAGTTGAAAATGTAAAATATTAACGGACAACGGCGACGGACGAAGACGGATAGCAATAGGTCACTCGAGCTAAAGCTCAGGTGACCTAAAAAAAGAAATATTGATGATGGACATGGCATACTGCAGTATTAGGGAAATAGTAAAATCTCTACAAGTCCTCCGAACTTTAATGAGACAACTCTGATATTGGAGGACTAGTAAAATCTCTACAAGTCCTCCGAACTATAATGAGACAACTCTGATATTGGAGGACTAGTAAAATCTCTACAAGTCCCCTGAAATAATAATGAGACAACGCTGATATTGGAGGACCAGTAAAATCTCTACAAGTACTCCAAACTAATAATGAGACAACGCTGATATTGGAGGACTAGGAAAATCTCTACAAGTACTCCAAACTAATAATGGGACAACTCTGATATTGGAGGACAAGTAAAATCTCTACAGGTCCTCCGAACTTTAATGAGACAACTCTGATAATGAAGGACTAGTAAAATCCCTACAAGTCCTCCGAACTTTAATGAGACAACTCTGATAATGAAGGACTAGTAAAATCCCTACAAGTCCTCCGAACTTTAATGAGACAACTCTGTTATGGGAGGACTAGTAAAATATCTACAAGTCCCCTGAACTAATAAAGAGACAACTCTGATATTCGAGGACTAGTAAAATCCCTACAAGTCCTCCGAACTATAATGAGACAACTCTGATATTGCAGGACAAGTAAAATCTCTACAGGTCCTCCGAACTTTAATGAGACAACTCTGTTATTGGAGAACTAGTAAAATCTCTTCAAGTCCTCCAAACTAATACTGAGACAACTCTGATATTGCAGGACAAGTAAAATCTCTACAAGGCCTCCAAACTAAAAATGAGACACCTCTGATATTGGAGGACAAGTAAAATCTCTACAAGTCCCCTGAACTAATAAAGAGACAACTCTGATAATGGAGGACTAGTAAAATATCTACAAGTCCCCTGAACTAATAAAGAGACAACTCTGATAATGGAGGACTAGTAAAACCTCTACAAGTCCTCCAAGCTAATAATGAGACAACGCTGATATTGGAGGACTAGTAAAATCTCTACAAGTCCTCTGAACTAATAATGAGACAACTTGATGCCTAACTTTGATAATCACTTACCTTTCTTAGCTTCCTTAGCAAAGTCCCTTATTGGAGTTGGTCTCTTTTGGACAGATCCCTTCTGCAGTGGTCCTTTTGGTGGTGGACCCTTTTGGGGGATGCTTGCCTTGGACTGCTGACAGTTAGCCATACTGGGCAAGCCACGAAGAGCTAGTTCCAAAGTGGATACCATGTCTGGGTAGAAAAACTCAAACGACTTTCCTGAAAAAGAAATATGTCACTGTTACCATAGCGAGTGAGCTGCTAATCTCAGAGTGGGTAACATACCAGGTAAAAAAACCCAACAATTTCCCCAAAACACAAGTATCATATCACTGTTTTCATAATCACATTAACCCTTTCACCCCTATATAACTTTAATAGACTCAACCATGCATCGATCTGGACGAGTCCATTATGGTCTTCAGTGGTGAAAGGGTTAAGTATAAACTTGTTGCTGCATTTACAGGCATCTACTTTTGTGACAATAATAATGGTTGAACTATGCAGGTCCTATATTCGTAGTGGACAGAGGTATTTATCCAACAATGTCTCTGGTACATATTCAAACCTAGTAATTATAACCAAATCTCCTCTTTTATAAATACTTGACATATTTTTAATAACGCAATACATAGTCAATTTGGGAAATTTCAAACAGAATTGTTTTTTTTATAAAACCTGTTTCAAACAGCCATACTTTTTTTCCCTGCAGGATCGCTCTTGTCTTCTTCCTCCTCAGACTCGACCTTCACGGCCTTGTTAGCTTCAACTTCTTCCTTTTCAGGAGATTTATTTTCGGTGTCCAAATCTTCAAGGACCCGGATGTCAGCCATGTCAATTGCCTCCCCATCTTCGTCCTCTCCAATAATAGTGTTGACTGTAGAAAAAGGAAGATTCAACAGATATTTTACAAAATTTGTTAGACATACAATATATAGAGCACATTTTAAAAAAACAACAAATGTGAACAAGAACTTACTACTGACTCCTTTACAATTGATTTTACAAATCACTTCCTGATTCATCATTAGTCTCAGACATTTTTTATGATATTAAAATAAAGAGTTGACAAGTTCGTTTTCCAATACAGTGATGTATATTTTTACTACAAAACACTTAGATAAATGTGATTTAAATAACAGATATTACCACGATGATTTCAGTGTTCATCCTTAGAACGATCTTATCACCAGATAAATGTGATGACATAGGATACTAACCTTGTTTACCACTTTCCCCCGGTGTTTCATGATCGTTACTTGTTTTCGGACCACTAACTTCCTTTCCTGGAGCTTTATTTTCTGTATTAACTTGTTCCACAACTTGGCCATCAGTTACCTCCCCTTTCTTACTCTCATTAACAACTTCAACAGATGCAACATCAATTACCAAGAGCAAACTATTTCTCTATTTTTTTTGCATGTTTTCTAATAAATATTTAAAAGAATTTGATCCATACCAGGTTAAAATTGCCTGCAAGAGGCTTTGAGTTTTTGCCAAAAGCTATTAAACTTGTGGTAGGCTAGACACTGGTTTATATACACTTACATGTTAAATCTTATATCCACTAAAAACAGAACAAAACATCTAAAATTTTACATAACTTCCTCTTGATAAATATTTCTTAACCTTTTACCCAAGTCTTTGCTTATTAGATCACATGAAAAATGCATTAAAAATTTGCAACAGATATAAATCTCATACTTCAGTAAGGACAGTGTGATCCAATATGGCACTGGATTTGAACAAACAAATGTTCATTGGATGCGTATTACTTAGATAGATATATACCTAATAGATATATATGTTTATACATACCTGAAACCTGTGGCGTTTCAACTTTCACTACTGTGGCTGTTGGCTCAGCAGATTCAGTTTCCATCTTTCTGTAGACTGCTTAGATATGCTTCCCTTATATATCAAATGAAAACAAAACATTATTCCACAGACCAAATAGGCAAATGAAAATTTGAGTTCTGCAGTTATGTTTGCATTACATATATTTTTTATGTTTTATTTTGTAAGGCCAACCTCTGAAGTTAAAAACTTGAATGTCTCAAATTTCCTGCTCATGATTATCATAAAGCAATTTATAATAATAATTATGTCTTTTGTCTTTACAGGATTACATATTTAGACATAGTCTAGTTTACAATACGGCCCTGTTATGCATATATGTACAGACTTAATAATACAATTATAATGGTAGAATGCTAATAAATACAATCTTAATAAAAGATGCATATATACATTGATAAATATCACAGATATTTATCTATCACAATCAGGCAATTTATTTAATTGTGTCAAAAGATAAACCAGAGAGAATTTCTGTTTAACTCAGTCATTTAGAGTGCTGGACTTGTGCCCTGTAGTTCTGGGTTCAACTCCTATTTAGAGGCACTAGGAGCAACCCATTCTGTCTGTCACTGTTCTCTCAATGCACAAAATTGTATGCATTTATGTATTACATATAAACTTGTCAGATAAAAGCTTGGAGGAGATAGACCCTACAATCTAATGACTTAGCTTTCATAATTGCTCTTACAATCAGGGTTGAACTCTGGAAGGCTTGTGAGCAAAGTCTTGCACTGATGGGGAGTATGTGGTTAAATAATGTCACATTTGTTAGCTACCTGGAAGTATAAATAGCTTATTCCTGTTTCGACTAAGGGATATTTGTTTATATATGTTGTTAGATCACTGGAGTAGTACTCCTAAGCCAAGGTTTCAGCCCAAAGTTAATTTACCTTGGCTACTATATTGTATTTTAACTTTTTTATTTTTATTTCCAACTAAGTCTAAGGACCAACATGGTCTCAATGACTTTTCCAATCCTTGCATAATGAGGTTTGACTGAAGTTTATAATTACAAGAAATACAACTTAGTATCAAAACAGTAGCACGCCTTACCAAAGACCTACGAACAAAACAGAAACAAATTGCATGTCTATTAGATACAATAGATATAAATTTACAAACCATAACAGTCTAACCTCGTTAATTTGACCACCAATGATTAGAATTTATTTGTCCCACTAGCTATTCAGTGTTTTTGTGGACTTTTTTATACAAAACTGTCCAAGTTATTCAGTCATTTTACAATCAAGCCACTATTGTTGGAAACAAAAGTAGCTGAATTTATTGTATTGTAGGGGAAGCAACTCTTATTGTGCAACTGTTTATCATGGTGAAGGAATTTACATCAAAACTGAAAATAGAGTAAGTTCTTGTTTATCTAAAACGTATTCAAATGATATAAACACACATGACAGTCATACTCAAGAGCAGATAATCAAATGCTTGCAAAAACCCTATCAGAGAGGTGTACAAGTCTGTTACTTTTTTGCAATTATTTTTTCCCAAAATTATCATCATACTAACACAATTGAAAATAGACCTATCACATACGACAATCAATCGAATTATTCTAACAAAGCCTCCTTCATCAGCGGTTTGTTGAAGCTAGCTTAAGTAAAATATAATTAATTTCAACTTTTGTAACGATTCTTCTGTAAGTACACAGATATTTATAGCAAAAACATGTCTTATTCATATAACGAATGTATGACATTCATTATGCAGGTGTTTTCTGAATTAAAAGAATGAACAATTCCAGTGTTATACTGTGCAAGTAGATGCCTTATCTATATAGCTGATTAGCAATAAATCAATACTTTACGACGCTGATGAATTGTGGATTTTATACAGTTTCATAATTTTCAATTAAGAGATCGAGCATGCTCGTAATCTCGTTTCCCGAAGTGAATGACCTTTAGTATTGAATTAACATCTAAAATAACGATTATTAGCGATACGGAAAAGGCAATTTGTGAACGCGTACGGGCACCTGCTAGCAGCCTGTGTACTGGGCCAGTCTGCCAAATAGCATTGTTGTAATTCGATAGCCGATGCTGCATTTGGACGATGCATTGTACACTCCATTGTTTCCAATGTCATGATTAACTGTAAACATATCAGAAAATTACAATTTATACCTTGGATTTCCTTGTTGAGCAGGTAAAAACGGTTGTAATTTTCAACTTTCCGTCTGTGTACCATTAATGTATAACTTCCGGTTACGCTGAGGTGCGTTCGATTACATTCACTATATTTCGGAACGTCACGATATTGCCGAATGAACGGATGACAATAATTTCATATATCACCCATATAACCCAAAATTAATTATTTTTAGTGAAATCTTTAGTGCATGTAAAAGAAATGTCAAATTTTCATAGCGACCTACCATACATAAAGACGCTAGCAATATGTATAACAATGTGTGTATAGGTCTGTGTTACAATATATCGAAAGGGAAGATGTGGTATTGGCACTGAAATAAAATAAATTGTATACTTATGTTTATTACTTTTAGAAGGAGGCATACAAACTTAAAGAGATTTTTCAAATATCAGTTTTAAGCATTAAAAATGCCCAATTCTTATCTAATTATGTGATGAAGAAATGACAACAAATTTCGATAAATAAAGCATTGCAGATGTTAATTTTTAGCGAGTCGATTTCTCTCTCTTTTTTATGTGTTCCACGGAGCATTTATTTATGTGCTACCAAAAGTTGGATGTAAACTCTTGCAGCATTGTATAATGTAGCCAGAGTTTCCTCTGGCCCTAAAACCAAAGACAGATGTCCAAGTCTGGTGTCAGGGCCAGAAAAAACTCGGGCTATGTATGATGAGTTGGAAAATGCACATTGGTGTATTAATATGAGGCGTAGAAGATTATACGGAGGTAAATAACAGGAGTTCAAAAGTTTTATTGAAATGACTCACATCGCGCAAACGTTTGGTTCTTTAGATGATATTTTTTTTGGAAGTATTGCATGTCTCTTAGTGATGTATTTTTTAGCCTTTTTTTTCTAAATATTTCGAAAATGATATCGCAATATAAGAGTTTCGGGGGCAAAAAAAGCAATGCCGATCGACCTTACCGCTACTTACTTGTCGTGATTGTTATAATGCCGAAGTTTTCAATGAATCTTCTAGCTCTGTCCGTTTTCGATTTCTAGGATATGATTACTTATTCTCAGTTTTGTTTTCAGTTGTCTTTGTTAACACATAAGTAACGATGAATCAGTACGACTCTCCTCTATATCTATTCTTACCTTTATTGGTATTTAGGTAGATTTCGGTGCTATCGTTGCTATGTAATTTATCAAAAAAACAACACAGACGAGTTCTTCTGGATAAGGTTTCAAACCTTTATTCTTTTCAACAGGAGTTGGGCTTAAAAGTATATGCTATAGTAATGCTTCACTCAGTGTATATATACGATGCTTATATTTACCATTATCATACATTTGTTTATTTACCTTGTAATGCTTGTTTTAACAAGATCGTTTGTATCATTTTGTGATATCATACGTAAATGGCATAAAGCTTGAGTAATGATATATAAAACTATTAACTGGATATTGTCCTAGTGCTGCCCTCGATGTGGTATTACCAATTCAAGAAATTTAAGTTAATTAGTTCTGCAGGAGTTTTATCAAGTATATCGATATTTTATCCCAGTTAGTATTTTAGCTCTATTGACAGCTCTGACAACTTTATCATGGTAATCAGCACACCGTATTTCTGAATTATATGTCAGTACCATTCTTAGTAGGGTTTAAACAAAATTCTCACATTCTAGCTTTCTGATATGAAAACGTTTGCAAGCCCTCTGGAGATTCTGAAAAAAACAATCAACAGCTGATTATCTGCAAAGAGAAGCTTTAAATTTCCAACATCCATATTTCCTCACGGTTTACGTTGTTTTCAGAAAAGTACAGATATTCATGAAATTTTGACCCGGATAAAACTGAATATGCGATTATATCACCTTGGCGGAGGCCACATTTTATATTGAAAATAAGATAAGATAAGGTGGCGATAAGATACCTTCCTCATTAATAGCAGAACTATAGTGGTAGAATGTAATATTTCATCCAATTTCTTAAATCCGTTTCTTAAATCCTTCCAAATTTTGAAGTATCCATAAGGACTTCAACTACAACTTTCCCAAAAAATCGCCTAAAAATCTTTTCAGAAATCATTGCCGAAAGTGCCGAAAGTGCCGAAACGTCTTTTTAAGTATCAAAGCATCTTTATCATACGTTTGGTTTTATTGTATAACGTCCTATTAACAGCTGAGGTCATTTAAGGACGTGCCTGGATGTATCTTGTGTACGCATGCATGTGTGTTTGTGTGCTGGAGGCAGAGTAGTGATAGCGCGGATCTGATGCCCAATTTATAGTGCTATCTCACTGAAATACCTAGCTGCGGGAATCCCGTAGCTATGGAATAACATGCCGAAGGCACCGACACGTTTTTGTGTGTAAAACTCTGCGATGTTGTCGAGTTGTCCGAAACACTTATTACTAATACCGGTTAGATATCGTGAGCGTGCCTGGTTTATATGTTGTAATAAAGTAAGGTTATAGGATATGCCGTTGTATAATGTACATCACAGGGACCTGATAATTTGTTACAGTTATATATGGACATAATCTAAGATGTTTAGAGTAATTTTACACGTTTGGGTGCTTTTTTGTGCTGTTAGAGAGCAAACTTTTTTTCTTCTTTAACAATTGTCTAGGGAAACAAAACCAAATATCGGAAAAAAAGATAGAAGGGCACTCCACCCGCGGTCACTGTACTCTTCTGACACGTGACGAAAAGGATAAGTAAATGGGAACAGAACAGATTGAGGTCCCAATGGGTGCAGTGGGGCAGCAGATTGAGTTTAGTCCTTTCTGTGTCTCTGAGAACAGACAGAGAAAAAAACCCTCTAAATTCTGCGGGGTCCCACACTGATCGAGTCTTACATCATGCCACGAAATGCGGTCCAAGGTAACCTCGTACATTGTAGTTCCTAAAACATGTTGAGTACGTTTTGTTAGAAATGATTATCTTATGATGATTATATTGCAATGTAACAGGAAAATGCTAGATGTGTACTTCGATACTGAGGACAGGTGAATGTTCCTAGGATGTTGGTAAGTCTTACTGTATTAATTGGTTTTATTCTGTATATTGATTGCCTCCCTTTGACATTACTCTACAATATGAACAAGAAACCATAACTCTGTATAATATGGGAAGAAGACAAATTTAGGAAATTGTGTGACGCTCTGTCTTCCCAAGATGCATACTCAAGACAAACTTTGGTATCACAAATGAAGAAAGGGCCATATAGGCTAAATGTATATAGTTGTGTCCGAGACATAATCTAAGTATGGGACACTGTGTCAATAGATATCTACACCCAATAATCTGTATGAGCCACTTTGCCTTCCGAAGATACAAAAGTATTGCACATTTGGTGAACGCAGGTGAAACAGCAGTTATGCCCAAGCCTAGCACTAGAGGCAAAAATAAATAAGGGTTCGTCACTCTGCTTCAAAGTAGACATAAGAAATTTTGAAACGCGAACGCATTTGAGCTATGTTTGTAAGGTATATAATGAAGTTTCATAAAGAATAAAGATACGCCTTTTAATAAAGACAGGAAGAGAAGACGTGTTTTAATGACAGAGGATATCGCGGGTATACCATAATATGAATAGAGAACAAGCAGTATTGATTAACGAATCCGTATCTTCAGTTAAAAACACCACTGCGGGTGTACCTCAGGGATCTGTACTAGGACCACTATTATTTCTGATATTTCAAAAGAACTGACTTCACTTTCACGCTTATTTGCGGATGACACGTCACTGTCATATTCATCCCCTAATCTTTTTGATATAGAATCTGAAATCAACTCTGACCTGAATAAATCAGAAAAAATGTCAACAGACTGGCTTATGACTTTTAATCGGACAAAAACAGAAATCATGATAGTGACACTTTCAAATCTACCCTTTCAACCACGATCCTTCTTTAATAATACTGATAATCATAAACACCTTGGCGTCAGATTAAGCAGTGATGGGAAAATGACAGAACATATAGATGATATTATTCGCAAAGCTTCCAAATATATTGCAACGTTAAGAAAACTTTCAACTTAATTTAAGCAGAAATAATCTTGACAAAATTTATCTGACATATATCCGACCACTTCTTGAATATGCATGTGAGGTATGGGATAATTGTGGGGAAGCTAATTCATTAAATATTGAAAGAATCCATTAGAAGCTGCTCGGATTGTCAAAGGGTTGCCCATACATACTAAACTGGAGTTACTATACACCAAAACGGGCTTGACACCACTATGCACTAGAAGAAAGATCCGTAAACTGTCAATGTTTTATACAATAAAACCGATATTGCCCCCGAATATTTACGCGAATTTATGCCACCTTGGAAACATGTCTAGATATGATTTAAGGAATGCACATCAAATAAGAATGCCTATCTATCGATTGCAAATTATGCGAAACTCTTTTTTTCCATCAACTATTAAAGCATGGAATGATCTTGATGAACATATTAAATCATCTGAAACCTTAAACATTTTTAAATCGAGAATAAACAAAAGTATCAATAAGAACGAAAATAAACTTAAACAACATTTCCTAACTTTTGGAGCACGTAAATCTAACATATTACATTGTCGTTTAAAAATCGTACGAGTTTTCCAAACTATGATTTATTCAGAGCAAATTTAATTAATATTCCTGCATGTAGTTGTGGGCATCCCTGTGAGGATTCAAACCATTTCTTTTTTACCTGTCCTAAATATAATCTATCCCGACTTTGACTTTTTAGGTCAATGTCATGGTACCCTGGTCAAGTAAATATTGATCTTATACTGAAAGGAGACATTCATTTAAGAAATATTGACAACTCAAATATTGCAAGAATAGTTCAAATCTACAAAGACAGAACTCGCAGGTTTGAATAGTTGCGTCCCCTACACTTTCACTTCTTCTCACACTTTCTTCTGCCCTCTTTGTCTTACGAGATATAAATCATGATAAGTAAAATGATAATGAATGTGTATTATGTGTATAATTTGATATTATTTACTTACTGCCTATTACTTTTATGATTTGGTTGTGTTCACTACAAAACATGCACTTTTCATTATACACATGTATCAATTTCTCCTCCCCATATACAACTGTTATCCGAATACCATACACAGCTAACATTCACAATCTATATAAAACAATATATTTATCCATACTGATTATGCNTACATGTCATCAATGATAATAGGCATACACATGAAGTAGATATATATACATAATATTCACACAGGTACAAATACACAACTTTAAAAAAGCACCATTCAAAATCATTTGCTGGATTTGATGAAGTGATGCACATGTCTAAAAACGTAAGAGTTAAGGTCTACCGAAAGATCCGGATTGCCAAACACATGAAATAATCTCTAAACTTAAAACTATACCTAAGGCATTCAAATTTTGAAACAAAATGCGACTTTCATTGCAAAAAAAGTTGACACTCAAAGAAAAAGTGAAAGGCATTCTCACATGAATGTCCACAGATTTCTGTAAAGGTCATACTTAAGGGAACTACAATTGTGCCTCAGTTTAGTATGTATAATATTTAATTTACGTTCACCAAAACTGAAGTAGATAGGAGGGGGTGGTTGTACATTTGAGGTAAGAGAGTTTTTAAATAAATGTATAGAAGGCAACGATCGTACTGATAGATCTATGGAGTTCCAGCTACGAAGAATGGAAGGTAGAAAGGAGGGATTGGTAAGAGAAAGACCAAATAAAGGAACTCTATAATCACTGTTATTTCTAAGAGTGTATACCTGTTATTTTCTGCAAAAGTAGGTGGCAGGAGATCGTTTGAATAATCTAGATCTGGAGTTAAGTTATTTTGCATTTTGTATAAAAGTTGGAGTTTTCTACGTTTTCGACGATTAGAAAGAGTTTCTAAACCTGTTTCAAAATGTAAATCTTCGATACGATTCAAATTTAGTGCAACCATCCCATAATTCACAAGCATATTATAAAACTGGTAAAATGAATGATTTATAAATTTTTAAAAGACTATTCCTATTTAGCAAATATTTCAATCTCCGTAAGACGTTAATTTTCTTCATAACTGAACTATAAATGGCATTAATATGATCCCCCCATTTTGCGCTTGAATTAAAAACTACTCCCAAATGCTTATGATGGTCTGTAAAATTTAAGTCTTTTCCATCAAATTTCAAAATCTAAATCTTCATCTATGTCAATAGAATTAGAAATAAATATTACCTCGGTTTTGTCTGGATTAAATGTTACCAACCAAGTTTTAGACCATACGTTTAAAGACTCAAGATCCTTATTCAATACTGTTTGGGTTTCATGACAAGAAGAAGAAGACTGTAATAAAGAAGAATCATCTGCAAAAAGACGAGCAGCTGATTCAAAGACATCGGCAATACCATTAATGTATATTAAAAACAAAGAAAGTCAACCAAGCAACACACAAGCAAAAAGTATACTCACAGCACAACACACGAGCAAAAGCAAAATATATACTCACCGCACAACACACAAGCAAAATATATACATGTATACTCACGGCGCAACACACAAGAACAAAATATACCATAATGGAGTCTAATTATGATAAACACGTGTGTTTGTATGCTACAATATTGAATTAGAACATTAAAGTGTATTGCCTTAACCTGATTTAAAATCGTCACTTCGATACAAGCTACTACAACGGCAGCCGAGGAGATACAAAATCAAAAGGAAACACACCGTGCTCTTAAAAAAGCCTCTATTCCAGAAGTGTAAGCGACTTTTTCGAACTCCTAAGTTGACAACATTTTACACAAAACATTGCCCCTATGACGACGAATCCCTCGTACAGCTATACATACACATTTTGTCATTGAATGGGGTCAACGGTTTCCGCAAAATTAATTCAAATATTCCCTGATCGCGACATTCTTTTGAAATTAATTCTTGTTGTGCAACGTAATAATCAGGAATTAAATATTTTGTATGTTTCAGGAGCACATGAAATTTCTTAACAGGAAATAATCGGCGGGAAATCGCGTTTCTAATGCAACAGCGACTAATAACGCTTATTCAAAAGTAGACATTCTTGTTTCTTTAAATATTTTTGTTTGGATTGTTAAGATTGCGTACGTATTTCGTAACATCAAACTAAAAATGTGGATTCGCTTCATGCAAACTTGTAAATTGATTTTAAGTCCATTTTGTTTCTTCCTATATTAATTAAAGGGACATACCGTCAAAAACAATATTTCAGTTATTGAATGTAATGAATGGTAATACCAGCATTCTGACATTTGTTTATGTTAGCCCCAGTCACATTTCCTACACAACGTATAGTGCATACTAACGAATTCTGACCACTGTTGTACTGACGTCGGTACCTGACATTGGATCACCGATGTTCTGACGTCGGTACCTGACATTGGACCACCGATGTAATGACGTCGGCCCAACGTTACATTCCTTCACTAGACGCGGTACCCGACATTAGACCACCGACGTACTGACGTTCGCCTAACGTTAACTTACATACGTTGACACAACGGAGTGTGCCCAACGTTTGCCGTCGTTGAACCAACATTAAGATCCGACGTCGCGACAACCTCACTCCGGTGGACAAACGTATGTCACATTCAATTAGGCTACTGATGTCGAGCCAACCTTGGTATCCGTCGGCGGGCCAATGTTTGATGTCACGTTGGCCCAACGTCTGACTGCTAAAAGATGGTCGGTTGTTAGCGGTCTCATACATAGTAAGGACAGACATTTAATTATCGCACCTCAGACAGAGATATCCAACGTCATACCCCATACTAGATTTTTCTGTCTCGTCCGATCTGTCTTGTACCTTTACGTGCATGACATTTCGCGGAATTTTTACACTGCGATGTATTCATCCGCGTATTAAATGCTTGAAATTAACAATTTGCATTATAAATGTTCTGTTTTGTCGTTATATATATAGTTTTGATGTTGTTAGATATTTGATGTTGTAGATAAAATATAATCTACACTGTGAAATACGTTATAATCTATGTAACGACTGACTACATTTATACGCGGAAGCATTCAAATGTAGCTAAAGCAGTGAAGAGGTCATTATCATTTGAGGCCCAAGGCGGGATACTAGTTTTTAGCAAAATTGTTTTTTTTTCTTACTAAAAGGTGCGAGAAAAAAAAATCAATTACCTGTAACCACGGACTTAGATAACTAATCTAATTCCGTGATGTAACTGAGCAAGATCGGGTTATCTCAGTCTCGGGCTAAGATTCTGTAAAATCCCAACCTCGGCTTACGCCTCGGTTGGGATTTTGTTACAGAATCTTAACCCTCGACTGAGATAACCCGATCTCGCTCAGTTACAGCTAATAGATTTTATTAAAAGTCTTTATCAGAAGTTTTAATCCAAAACTATTTGTACGGTAAAAAGAAGTTATGGCCTACAGAAACATTGTTAGATATAATGTACAACGCCAGAAACCATAACAGTTATTGCTTATTGTTAGTATAAACGTGCTTCATAGAATATATATCAAACAAATTTACCATTTCTGGAAATACGTGTTTAGTGAAATGGCAGCTAGGCAGCTAGTCTTGGGTAGAGCTTAGATTAACTTCACACACACTCTTTAATTGACTTCCAAACTATATCTTGCTTCTTTGAAAGTCTGTTTACAAATGAATGGAATTTTATGAAGTATTTACATAATATACTAACATTTTAAGAAATCATTTGTTTTGAACTCAGTTCCTTTAAATTATTGTTAAGTACCAACCTTTACCGATACGTATGTTACCATCAGTAATTTTCGCGACATTTCGAGAGATTTAAAGAAATTCAGTAATTGACAGTGTCTAAAGGTTAGAATATTTTCCCTCAACCTTGAGAGCCTACTGTTAAAATAACGAGATGTGATTAGCTATACAAATTCGCGTGATATGATTCTTCGGTATAATTTCTAAGTCAATTATTTCGTGCGAGTTGATTCTCTTGTAAAAGTTAATCCTGCTGAAGCTCGTACATTATAATTAGTTCACGAGAATGGACGTAAATAACAATTTAATACGAAACAAATATAAAGACGATCGATGATATGTGACCCCGCTGTTCATGCGAAGAAGTACACTATGTATGTTTCGCTCTAGTAACTACATAATTACTCAAAATACCGATTGGCCTTAATTTATACATTATTTATATGTACAATATGTAATATTGTAGTTGTGTATTTCTGTCTTCTATTGTGTTCGTCGTCCCCACCCCTACCCCCAACTCCACACTTAAAACCCCCCCAGAAAGTCTGTAGGCCTGTATATTGTTATACGGATAAAAATATATAATTAAATATGCCTTTTGACATTTGGGATAAAAATGTCTTCCTCATCACATAAAACAGATAATGAAATCTTTAAATTTAATTATCTTTCGTTAAAAACCCCCCACTGTAACAGGTACGCTCGATCCTAGATATAACGCACAGTGTATAAGTATACTAGGTATCGTATTTAACTTGATATCCAAATTACTCAGAAAAAGTTAGTTAGAAAATAAATCAATACGTGATATTGACGTCTAAAATCCAATTTACCATTTGTACACACTTATTTTAAAACATTATTGATTATATCATACAATATTAAGATTAATAGAATGCAATTGATTAACGTAATTCTTCGTCCTAGTAATGGTTAATGAACCAGCGCACTTACCGTTATAATTGCGTTACCGTAATGCCTTTTGAGATGACCCCCGATCTTCATTGTTAATTCCCACAATACACAACTAACACGGTACATTTCCGCTATGGCGGAAACTTACTTGGTTGGACGTTGAAAGTGGAACTTGTACTGTTTGTGTTCACCAGGTAGCAGTGAGAGGGAAATTGAGGGGTTGAAAAGTCGACGTGTGTTTGGCTGAACGTCGTGTAATAGTGAAATAGGTAAGTGAAACTGCTTTAATGCAGATTGCATGCAATGGCCAAAGGGGCAGTCTGCTGGAGACGTTTGGGATGAACATTGATGGCCGAGTGATTCTGATACCATCTCCGTCATGTCACGGTACAGTACACATTAAGTTAATATCCCGAGGACATAAAATCACGCGTTTAATTGTCATTATTCATAAATTATAGTTGTAAAGTGTCTGTTAATTCAAAAAATCGATGTAGATTTCACTTGAGTAGTGGTGTCAGTGTGTGTCACGTTTCACGTGTAACGTGGGGGTAACCGGTGCGCGTGCTGGAATTATCGCTGCAGGTGTCAGCATGTATACGTCCTGTGTCATTCCAGTGACAAGGTCTTGTAGAGTAAACAGGTGTCAGATTCCTATTACACGGTGATATTATTTTATGATGTTCACTTATGTTGGAGTATAATAAAGAAAAAAAACTATGTTTACAAGAAGACAAGATGTAACTTCCGATTATGTAGAACAACAACAAGGTATTGGAAACGTGGGGTTAATTACTAGATTATTATGTTATCCTGATCTCATCCAAAAATACATTTAAAAAATGACAAAACTCTCACTTTGATTATCATTGGCTTAAAAAGTAATTGTACTACTTTATATGTCACATGATATAATAAATGCTTAATTGATGAAGTTGGAGAAATCATCAAGATATGCAACGATCACTAGATGCTGGTGCAAGTGTTGAAAATGTCTAGGATAATACAGAAAAAAATACAATATAAAAAAAATGAAGATTCCACTACAAAATTAATTTTAGTGTCTTAAATATTGCTTCTCCTCCAATACAGCACCTAAAAAAACACCATGAAAATAAAAAGGAATTAATCAGGATTGATTAATCAGATGTAAGAGATCAGGTGTCTGTATCGGAAAATAACTGTAGTTGCATTTTTCCTATTAACTTTTTAATTCTTTAATCAAGTAAACATTATTATTTTTACTAAAATTGTCACTTTGTACATCATAATTAGAATACAGATGATACCTAAATCTGTGTTCTTCTGATTGTCAGTAAAATATTAAAACTTTTGTAGGTGAAATAATTGAACTGTTTCTTTGATGTATGCTTAATTGTTTTCATTGAATCACATGGCGCATCATTTAGAGTTTGAAAGGTCCCAGGTTTGGTTACTTGTCAGGCTGTTTGCAATTTCTACCTTTTATAAGTCCTGTAATATTACGAAACAATCAAAACTTTTTACAGAGATCATTCATTAGCTAGAGGAAGATTATCAAGACCTGATATTCATGGTATTTTGCTACCTAAGTTGTGTATTATTATTTAACATGCTTAACCCTTTCACCACTATAAACCGTAATGGACTCTTCCAGATCAGTGCATGGTAGAGTCTACTAAAGTTACATAGGGGTGAAAGGGTTAATGGCCCATCATCACAGGAGAGGTTATAAAGGCCAACCAATAGCTTTAATAGTCATATAAGTATGCACATACTTTTTCTACAAAAAAACCCTATACCTCTACCTGTATTTCCAACATTGTGGAGGAGGCCTTTTGGATAAATTGACCATAAATATGATCAGCAGCATAATTTGTGAAGCTTTTAAAAAATGATAAAAAACTTTTGGACTTATATAGTAGTATATATGTAGTGTGACTATATATAGCTATTACTCAAGCCCATGAGACCTGTATCACTAGTTAGGTCATTAACATTTAGATAAGATGTTCCAAGGTCATCCAAGCCAGAGGTCCACATCATATATAGTCATTATCTGCAGACAGAGTCAGCAGCTGCATGGTGTTATAAAGAGGTTGTGTTATAGTCCAAATTAAAAATATGTCCCGTTTCCTATAGATGCATGTCTCCCTAATTTCTGTCAATATTTTAGTTGATGATTTGATCACCGTCATACAGATTATTGTGAATATTTTGGTGTTAATCCAGATTTTGTTTTTACTCGAGTCCTATAATAGACCAAAGACATATATATAAACAGTTTTCGTATGAACCAGGAAACACACAATTTCTATTTTTGGCCTTATGATCCACAATCATACTACATGTACCAGATGTTAATGTTGGTTGGTTAAAAATCATTCTTTAACATCCTCAAATTCAAGTCAAAAAATAAAAATTTGTGGGAGGGTATTTTGAAAAGTGAAGATTGTCTCTATAAAATATAGTGTATTGACACTTTACAATGTAGGAATACTGTTTTACATTAGTTTACTAGTAAACAAATTCTGTATTTTTAATCAAGAGTTTTTAATGACTGATCTGCAATGTTCTTACTGAATGCAGCCCAGCATCTGGTACTCGTTTCTATATATGTCTATGTACATTGGCGCGTTTCCTGGAAGCCCTGATAGATACAAGAGATTCCACATTAGTCAGCACTCTATTGTAATCCAGCTTTGGTTTTGATTTTTTAGGATAAACATTTTGTCGATAACATGCACTAAGATCAGGCATGTAAAAGAATGGCATTGAATTTATTGATTTAAACACGGACATAAAAAGTACCGGGTTCTGTAAGATGGGCACAAAAGGCAATTGCATGTCAGTTGGGTACAAAACAAGTGAAGTGTCAAAGTCACTCAGATGTTTGGAGTCTGTCATGCAATGTGTTGCTACACTTGAAACTAAAATCCACTGGGATAATTTTGTAGTGATTTAGTGTTTCTTATTTTAGCACACCTGGCCCGAAGGACCAAATTAGCTTTTGTGATGGTGCAGCGTCCGTCGCCGATCCATCCATCTTGCATTAACTTTTTTTCTTTAATGACTTCTTCTGAATAATCAAGAGTCCTTAGGTGATGATGTTTGGCCTGCAGCATACAGGGATGCATGGCTGTAAAGGTCAATGGAGTCAAATGTGTTAAAAACTGAACTTTTACCGAACAACAAAGAAGCCAAGAGCGAGGACATGTGTAGCATTACTTGACGAAGGGATATATTTATGTAAGAATTAAATAAATCAATGAACATAACCATTTTCCTGGTCAATGCCAAATGTGTTAAAATATGTAAACAACTTCTTCTGCATAACAAAGAGGCCCTGGTTCATGATTTGACATGTGGCATGCTGGGATGAGGGCTATCAAGTGTGTTCAAATACATGTCCTTGACTCACTGTAAAGGTCATGGGGGTCATTGCTCAAATGTGTTGAAATATTTTAATGACTTGTGAATAACCATGAAGGCTTAAAATGATGATATTTAGTAAGTGATATGCTTGGATTAATGGCTATCAATTTCAATCAATTAATAATCAATTAACTCAATCCTTTTAAAGGGTAACATTTGGCAAATGCTTTTTTTAACCTGTAGTGATGACTTGTTTGCTATTAACTTTGTTTTTAATTAATTTCACATTGACCTACTTAGAAGGTCATGCAAAGATTTATTTGCAACAGTATTGAATAATGGATGAGCAATACAGGCCTTTTTGGCTTTTTGTTTTATTTCACTTACCCTTTTCTCTACATTACTGTTCTTCATATCACAGGAGCAACTTTTAGTTTGAGTTACTCTGTAATAGTGATATTGTAGTAGTTGGCTAGTACTAAGTAGTACCACAGTCATAGTTTGGGATATCAGGGGGCCCAGTCATTTCTTTCCCCGTAGGGGAAATTTTGTACATAATAAACAAGGGTTGTCACCTCTTGAAAGTTAGTGTTTTGAAAACAGTTAGATTGAATATCTTAACTGCATATGAATACACTTACAAATTTCTGTGATTTTGCTTATCTAACTAGGAATGAAAATGAAAAGTCTCAAAGACAGAAAGAAATTTTCAGATTGGGATAGAAATTGAAATACTTTCCAGCTCCTTGGAGACTTTGAGAAAATTATGTTTTATTTTTTCCAGTGGTACCAAAAACCTAAAATTTGATTGGTCTGTGAATATATCTATCTCAGAAATCCTAGCATTATTGTGTTAAAATCTTGTCCACTGTGTAAATGGACTATTCTTTTTATATGCTTGCTTAAAGCAGAATGAAGTATGAAGGTATTGTCCTATTTTCTTCATTGTTTGTCTGACATTAGTATTCATACACAGACTGGTGAACAAAAAAGCCAAGAAATATGCTTTAAAAAAGATAAATGACAAATTTCAGAGTTTTCATGCACATGATTTTAAATCTGAAATTGCCATGTGGCACAATGCTTAAAAATTCAACATATCAGCTGATGTGATAGGCACCAAAGAAATGAATGATATCAGAAAAAAATATCGTACAATGGGAAGTAACGGAAGTGTTTTGACATTATACATGTGTAATACATTAGCTAAGTAACGAGCTCTCAGAAATTTCATAATTTCCGCGTTTCGGAGAACAGCGGAAAATAATTGTCCTATAGGTACAGTATTCGGGTGTTTTCGTCGGGTATCGTAGGTCTGATTTATTGTCCAATGAGAGAGTGACGCGTTGTACGCACGTGCAAGGTAGGTAAGTGTGGTAGGGCAAACGAGGTATTGGTCATTCTAGCCGTGGACACCAGGGCGTAGTCAAGCAAAATTTATATGAGTAGAATTATTGTTTTTTTTTGTTTCAAGTTTAAATCTATATTACACTAATAACAGGGAATGAATATGTAATATCGGCTAACGTGATAGAAATCCAATGCACCGAACTTTAAGCATTGAGGGTTGGTACACCTCCTGTTTTCCGTGAAGGTTTTTTCGGTTTGGGTGGCTCGCTTAGCTCATTAGTTTTTAATACTTGACGGTCATTTGTGCGACTTAAGTGTGTTGTAAGAGAGGGCTCTTCATTATACCAAGATATTATGAATTATGTGTAACAGATCGATCTCCATGTCACTTGATATGTAATACATGTAATAAACGCCGGACGCCCTATTGTACACTCTGGCTAATTGCAGTGAATTGTTTGAGTTATTCTTGGGAGAGGAGTATATAGAGGACGTACATATATATAAGTGGTATTGTTGTTACTGGTTTTACGGTATGAAAATGCATTGGTCAATGTATAGCATG